TATTCAGAGACATTGGAAGTGGTCTCCATCATTGGTGGAGTCCAGTCTTGAAATTGGGTGGACACAGATGGCTCAGAGTTTGAAATTTCCCTGTTCCCAACCTCTGTTTTCTACTGGATATCTGCCCTGCTTCTGTAAATTGAATCCTCCGAGTCTAGGGGTAGGACAGATAATGGCGTGGGCATCTCACATAGGCTGTTTCTAATATAAAGGGACAGACAATGACACTCCTTAGTGTCAGCAGGCCTGCTACTTTGACGGGTTGCTTCCTCCTTCTGGCCTTTTAGGTTTGCCCAGCTACTACAGGCACCAAGCAAACCAGCCAGAGCTCTGCTGCTAAACAGGTCAGTCTCCTTCGCTTACCTCTATGCCTTGGGGAACCCAGCCACTAAACTCAGGCTGAGGCCCAGACTCTTGTACTTCTTGTACGTGCTTCTACTCCAACTTGCTATAGCATCCCGGGAAATGAAGGATCCGTTGAGAGACTCATGGAGGCACCAAGAATGGAGATGTCCCAGGTACCCAGAACTTCCATGAGTCTGGTATGCCATATCCCAAGTTGAGGGCACTGAGGCTGCTCTAGGGTACTGCCTATCCCTGCAAAGCCTGCCTTCCTCCCTGTGAGTCGCTAGCCCTGTGAGAGTGCCCACACCACCACCAAGATAGCGGAGGCAGGTGGGCACCCAGCCCCTCCATCTGCTCCCTGTGGGCAAGCTTCAACTCACTGTGCCCTTTATTCTTTTCAGCAGCATTTTGATGGCAGAGCCCACGAAGTCCGTAAGTCTCTGCTTTTTATAACTGTTCTCTGCCTGGGCCCTCACCCTTTCCCAGAATTTTCTCTTCCCTTTACCCGGCTCCATTTTTACTGTCACCACTAAGCATCCAGCATCTACATTTTCACTGACTGAGCTCTTCTCTCTGACCCCCCCACTCACCCTCTGTCACCCCCTCACCCTTCAGCCAACTTCTGTCAAACCCCAATAGGGCCAGATGACTCAGACCTGGTCTTGTCCCAGCTCACAGCAGGAGGGAGACGGTGTTAAGGGGAGAGCTCCCTAGATAGTCCAGTCTCACCAGCAAAATTGTAGCAGAGTGATCTGACATTGGCTGCTGGAGGGGAACCGGTATCCACTGGCTTTCTGTTCACCTGCGCTGAACCTCAGGGTTCTTTGCTGAGAAGGGAAGGAGGTGATGAGCTGGACCCTAGGGAAGGGGTGGTTACAGGGCTGAGGCCAGCACTCGATTCTCCCCTTCTCTCCCCTCCTCCTCTGGGCTCAGGCACAGGGAGAGATTACCTGTTCAGCTCGCGCACTGGAGCACGGCGTTGGCTCTGAGGCCAAGCAGCTGCTTTCCTATGTGTGGAATTCCCTTCTCACATGATCATAGCCTGCACTTCCAAGCTGACTTAGCAATAAAGATTACAAACGGAACACTACCCACTTTGTAATCTTTGTGTGGGAGAAGCTCTGAGATCTCTTTCCCTGTTCTTACTTGGAGAAAGTGCCACCTCCCTGTGGGCACCCTATGGAACGGTAGATTATTTTTCTTTGAAGAAGCATTGTCGGATGCTCTGACAGCAGCTGGCACTTTGTAGAAGAGGCTCTTATCTTGCTAGTGATTGATGGGTCTCCAGTTGTCCTGTATACTTGGAGTTCTTTATTTTTATTTTTATTTTTTTGAGGCAGGGTCCTGCTCTGCTGCCCTGGCTGGCCTGGAACTCTCTATGTGGACCAGGCTGACTTTAAACTCATAGATCCACCTTTTGCCTCCTCAGTGCTGGGATTAAAGGTGTGTGCCACCATACCCAGCAAGACTTGATTTTTTGTTTTGGTTTGGCTTTTAGAAACAGAGTTTCTCTGTGTAACAGTCCTGGAGGTCCTGGAACTTGCTTTGTAAACCAAGCTGGCCTCAAACTCAGAGACCCACATGCCTCTGCCTGTGCTGGGATTAAAAGTGAGCGCTGCCACCACCACCCAGAAAAAAATTTTTTTTTAATGTGTTTATTGAGACAGGGTCTCCCAATATAACCTTGGCTGTCCTGGAACTCACTTGTAGACCAGGCTGGTCTTGAACCCACAGAGATCTGCCTGCCTCTACTGAGTGCTGGGATTAAAGGCATACACCACCATCCCAAGCAAAACTTTAAAGACATGGTTTACTCTTGTAGTTTAGACTGGCTTGGAACTTGCAGGCCTGCCTCAGTCTCCTGAGTGCTGGGATTACAGACACATGCTGTCATGACTGGGTTGACATTAGTGTATATATATGTACGTGCACATGGCAGCCAGAGGACAACCTCAGGTATCACACCTCCCCCTCCCCATTGAGACAGGGAGTCTCACTGACCTGAAGCCCACCCAGGCTAGGCTGGCTGACTAGTGAGGCCTAGGGATCTGCCTGTCGTCCCTTCCAGCACTGGGAGTGCAAGTGAGCATCACCATCCTAGCTTTTATAGTACTTTTTAATACACTGTAGATTCTAGGGTACTCTCTCTCCAGCTCAACATTTGTGGTTTTTTAGGGTCCCATCAGCCCTCATGGGCAGCTTGTCAACTTTGTGTAGAGGTTTTATTGGGAAGGATCTGGAATTTCTGTATGAAGTTAAAGGGCAGGAGAGATGTGGGAATCTGTACTTATTTGTTCCCACTGATTCCTTATTGCTTGGCTCTTCCTGCGCTAATCTAGGCTTTGTTGCACCTAGCCAGTGCCTCTGTAACAGCCTGAAGAACAGATTGGACTGTGCAGTGCTGGCCCCAGGCCCAATCTGGCACATTGTTTGTCTCCAAGAAGAGGCTACACTTAACTATTATCTCCAAGATATCTCAGTCTTCCCCTCTTGGTAAGTCTGTAGGCTGAACCCTACTTGAGAACTGGGCAGTCTCCATTCTGGGGCCCGTTACAGTGCCGTGGGCCCAGGAAGAGTATGAATACCCTCTGGAAAAAGCACTCCTCTGGTCTTATTTTAGAGACAGGGTCTCATAATGCAGCCCTAGCTGGCCTGGAACTCACTGTGTAGACCAGGCTATCCTCAAACCCAGAGATTGGCTTGCCTCTACCCCTTGAGAGATTGAAGGTGTGTACTACCATGCTCTGCCCAAGAAAAAGACTCTAGAAAAATTATTTTTATATGTATGTGTGTGTCTAAATATATGCCACATGTGTGCTGATGCCCATGGTGGCCTGAAGAGGGTGCTGGATCTCATGAAACTGGAGTTGCAGGCTGCCACGAGCTGCCTGATGTGAGAGCTGGGAACACAACTCAGGTTCTTTGAAGAACAGCAGGTGCTCTTAATCACTGAGCCATCTCTCCCACAGAGACTCATAATGGTGTTTCCATCAAAGCTAGACTATTAGAAGCTTCATGCCCAGCAGCCTGAGAGTGGCTACAGGGGCTTTACCTGAGGACTTGGTTTACTCTAAGAGCTTATTAAATTTTCCTCGTGTTCACCCTCATTTTATAGACAGAGCAACCAAGTCTCAAAGAAGCTAAAGCTCAAAAGTTCTACAGTTAGGGCTGGAGAGATGGCTCAGCGGTTAAGAGCACTGGCTGCTCTTCCAGAGGACCTGGGTTCAATTCCCAGCACCCACATGGCAGCTCACAACTGTCTGTAACTGTCAGTTCCAGTGGATCTGACACCCTCACAAAGATATGCAGGTCAAACACCAATGCATATATAAAAGAAAAAAAAAGGTTTTTTTTTTGTTTTTTGTTTTTTTTTGGTTTTTTGGTTGGAGACAGGGTTTCTCTGTGTAGCTTTGCGCCTGTCCTGTCCTGGAACTCACTTGGTAGCCCAGGCTGGCCTCGAACTCACAGAGATCCGCCTGGCTCTGCCTCCCGAGTGCTGGGATTAAAGGCGTGCGCCACCACCGCCCGGCAAAAAAAGTTTTTTTTAAAAAAGTTTTAGAGTTAACTAATCAGGACATTTGGGTGTGGGACCAGGTACTTTGGTGCCTGTGGTGGCCTAACCTTGAAGCCAAGTCCAGGGTTAGGGGCCTACTATGGAGAACAAAGGATGGCCATCTTCATGGGACTCAGTTTGCCTCAGAGACAAGTCATGACAGCCAAGGGCAAAAGATAGTGTCATAGGAATTTAACTGATGCTCTCGGGCAATGAAGAGTAGCCACTATATGCTGAGACTTGTGCTGGATGCATATTTAACTCTATGCAAAATAAACTGTGGAGAGGGGAAGCCAGAAACTGAGAAGGTAGCACAGAGGGCTGTGGCTGGGAGACGCTTGGAAAACACTCGGGAGGCACAAGAGGCGAGGGACTCATCACCACCACTTCCTAAGACTGTGTGACCTTGGCTCAGCCTCTCTGCTGCGCCTCAGTTTCCTCACCAGTGACTAGGGTAGAACCCAACCACAGGCAGACGACAAAGCAAACACCGTACCGTTGACATTCCCTAAATGTGTGCGAGAAGTATGATAAATGCTGCTCAAAACCGAAAGCGTTGCGCAGGTAAGAAAACCAAGGGCGCTCTAGGTTCCCCGGTCGCGAGCAAAAGCGCCGCCGCCAGCAAATCTGAGAATGGCGCGCATGCGTCAATTCATGCCGTCACAGTCACGTGCCCCAGGCATTCTGCACGAGAGGCACACTCTGACAGACGGGACACTTGACGAATCGGCGGGAAGAACTCCTGCAGACATCGGGAAGAGAGGCTGTTGATTGGAGAGAACCTCAGTCAGGGGCGGGTTCTTTGCTGTCCTTGGTTACTATGACGCCCGGCCCCCCGCCCCCTCGGCTGGCCGCCATCTTGTTGTTGATCCGTACCCAGTGGGCAGCGCCGGGAGCTGGACCGAGCGGCCGGTGCGGGGCCGCTGCTGCGGGGCTCAGCCACCTGCGCTGCCTGCCAGGGGGCGGGCCGAAACCTGGAGGCCCGGGGGGCCCAGCTCCCGTGGGGAGCCTTGGGCGCCCGCTGCCCAGGTCGGGCCGGTGAGTGACAGGAGTCGGGCCAAAAGACCCGCCCGACACCCAAGGCTAGGGTGGCGGCGGGCGCGGGGTTGTAACAGGCGCGCGTAGGGCAGGGTCGGGACTGAGGCCGAGCATCACTGGGACATCATTCGAGCGTCCTGGTTGGCCTTCCGCGGAGCCTCCCAGATGCTGGCACGGAGGCTGGGAGGGCAGCCCGGGTGGAGGTCGGAGAGCCCCGTGCCCTAGGACCGGTCGGCCGGCGGTCGGCCGGCGGGATAGCGGGAAACCCGCCTTTCTGACCAAATCACTGGATGCCTCTGACCAGGAGTGCTGAGACGTGGTCACTGCCCGCTTGTTCTCCCGGCCGTAACGTTCCTCCACACCAGTGATAAACGTACGTCGCTCTTAGATATCACACTCTTGGAATTTTTTCAGGCCGCCTGAGACTAAGATGAGAAGAAACAGGCCTAAAATGCCTTATGAGCCCAGCAGGGTGGTATCAAGGCCCTGTGTTTTTGGTAGGACGATGGTCATTCGCCTGTCTCTTTCCTTGGAAGACCCCACCGAGCCTTCCGTGCTCTTCCGGATTCACTGTTTACTGCTTCTTGAAGAACCTGGTTAAATGTCCGTAATGGCTGAGTTTTATTTGAGGGTGTAAGTTCTGTAGTGCTTGACCACCACTCTTTTTGGAGAGTGTGTTTTAGGAGGATAAGGATGGTGATGATTTGACTAATTCTGTCTCCTAAAAAGACAGTCCGTTAGGAAATGTAGGCGTATGATAAGACTATTAAAAATGTTTTTATTATGGATGGTCTTGAACTGTCCCATTAACTGTTAACAGAACTGAAACCGGTATGGGAGCTCATGCACTCTACTGAGGCAGGAGGATTGCCAGTGGGTTGCAGGCCAGCAGGAGCTACATAGCAAGACCCTGTCTTGAAATAAAAGCAGTGCTAAACGTTATTGATGCTGGATGAAAACGGCTGTCAGGCCTGTTTCTTTTGATGGAGGTGGGGCTGGCGATCCCCAGAAGAGTATGCAGCTCTAGAAACGGTCCTCCTGGTTGCTGTAAAACACATTTTACCCAGGACCCTTAGCTTCTCCACGCAGGTGTCTTGTATGTTGTCGTCATAGGAAACCTACAAGAGATGATTAAGGAGGTCAAGCAGGCTCATGTCACCCACCTCTGAATGTTTAATTTTGAAAGAAACCAGCACCTTGGTTTGGAGATGCCTCTGGGAAGCCAGAGCTGAATGAAGCCGGCGCAGGCGGCAGGTTGTTGCCGTTAGCTGGTTGTTATGCTTGTGAGGAGAAGAGGAGTTGAGTACTTTTGTTATTTATTTCATTGCCCTTCCACAGGGCCGTTTTTGGAATGATTAATAACATTTTGGCCTTCGTGAAATAGGAGAGAGATACTAAAATATTAGCTTCTCAAAATTGCTCCTCCCAAGCTCCCATTGCTCTTATTTCTTTATTTTGGAAATTAAATCAGCCACAGGGTTAAATTTTTGCTATTTCTGCTAAAATAGCTAACCCTAAGTTAGACTCTTATCTCATTTTGGGTATTGGATCTCTTAGTGATCTAGAAGGAGATGATTAATCAAGTTGTCAGCATTGACTTCTGCATACAATCTCAGGGAGTTCAAGGGTCCATTAAAGTCTCTCCTTGGCGTAATCCTTTGTTAGGACTGCTGTCCCAAGGAAGATCAGAAAACATATGAACTTTCATTGTCTTTGTTTAATATTTGTTTTATGCTTTGTTTACTAGCTCATGGATATTTATGAATAGGGTATGATACTTGATTCAACAGTTAACCCAAAGACAGTAACATGATTTCTGTGCTGGGTATTTTAAGTGCTGCATCATAAAGACCATTATGGTGATAGGCCCTCTGTCTTCTTTGTCTTTGCATAATTCATTTGTAAACTTTAGTACTTTTGGTTTTTTGGGGATCGTGTTCCTCGTGTATCCCAGGCTGTTGTGGAAACTCAAGAGTCACCTGTCTCCTCAGAGTGCAAGGACTTCAAGTATACATATACCTGGCTTAGCACTTTATTTTTTTCTTGGAATGGTGTCTCTATACATAACTCTGGCTGTTCTGGAACTCACTATGTAGACAAGGCTGGCCTCGAAATCACAGAGATCCACCAAGGCATGGGCTGGTTTAGCACTTTTAAACCATAAGAACAGCTAGATATCGTAGATGGTGGTTATTCTACACTGGCCAGAAATTGACACAGGCCCAGGAGGCAGGGAGATCTCTGAGTTTGAGGCCACCCTGGTCTACAAATCGAATTCCAAGACAGCCAGGGAGGGGTACACGAGAAACCCTGTCTCGAGGGGAAAAAAGACAAAGCAGGATTATAAGAAACAGGATTATAGGATGAGATCTGAGGTCCTAATGTGGCGTCCAAAGTGTTGCTGCCCAGCCAGCCCCAGCCCACTGCCTCAGGTTTATCCTTATCATCCACTAACTAAACAGCTTGCTCAGCATTCCACATGTCTTTCGATCCCCGCCTGGTGCCTCTTGCTTGCCGAATCCCATGACCTTCGCCCCTGTTCAGGATTCTGTTACTTTTCCCTCCTTGCTTATCTCCAGAGTCCAGTTCAAGTCCTCCCTGGCTTTCTAAAACATCTCTCAAACATTTTCAATTCCTGGAGCATATTCCACTCCTTTTGAACTGCAAAAGCATTATAACCCTTAACAGAATAGGATTTTCTCTGTTTGTTTGTTTTTGTCTTTTTTGCTTTGTGTGTGTGTGTGCGCGCGCGCGTGCGCCCCCGCGCCTCCGAGTGCTGGGATTAAAGATATGCGCCACCACCGCCCAGCCTGCCCTAGGGTTCTTTTTTTTTGTTTTGTTTTGGTTTTTTTTTTTTTTTTGATTTTTCGAGACAGGGTTTCTCTGTGTAGCTTTGCGCCTTTTCCTGGAACTCACTTGGTAGCCCAGGCTAGCCTCAAACTCACAGAGATCCGCCTGCCTCTGCCTCTGGGGTGCTGGGATTAAAGGCATGCACCGCCACCACTCAGCAATATTTGCTTTTTTTTAAGAATAATTTTTTCCAGAAGGTCATGGCACATGCCTTTAATCCTTGAACTTAGGAGACAGAGGCAGGCAGATCTCTGTGAGTTCTGTCTCAAAAACAAAACAAAACAAAACAAAAAACTCTTGGAGCCAGGTGTAGTAGCACCCCTGTAGTCCAAGTATTTGGGAGGCTGAGGCAGGAGGATCAACATGAGTTCAAGACCACCCTGGGCTCTAATGTAAGACCCTGTCTTAGTAGTAATTATAATATTTTTTAGTCCTGCCTAGTGTCGTGGGCCTGTAATTTTAGCTAGCCCAGAGGCTGAGATAGGAGAATCACATGTTCAAGGCCTGTGTGAGCTATAAAGTTGAGTTTAAGACCAGTCTATGCAACTTAATTAAACTCAAACTCAATATTGTAATAAAGGAAGGAGGGAGCTGAGGAAATGGCTCTGTAAGTGTTTGCCACAAGCATTAGGACTTGAATTTGATTCCTAGTACCCATAGAAAGTCTACTGTAGGGCTGGAGAGGGGACTCAGAAGTTAAGGGTATTTACTGTTCTTGCAGAGGACCTAGGTTCAGTTCCCAGTACCCACATGGCTATTCAACAATCATCTATAACTTTAGTTCTAGGAAATCTGGTTTTTTCCCCCCAAGACAAGGTTTCTTTGTAGCCTTGGCTGTCCTGGAACTTAGACTAGGCTAGCCTCTAACTCAGAGATCTACCTGTGTAGCTGAAGTTTTCCTGGTCCCACCTGGCTCCCTTGGTCCTGTAGCTGCTCGTACCCAAGTAAACACACAGAGGCTTATATTAATTAAACTGCTCAGCCATTAGCTCAGGCTTTCCACTGACTAGTTCTTACATTTAAACTCAGCCCATTTGTATAAATCTATATGTTGCCATGTGTTCCGTGACTTTACCTGTGTGCATTACTTGTTGCTTCCTGGACGGTGGGCTGGTGTCTACTGACTCAGCCTTCTACTTCTCAGACTTCTCTTTGTCTGTTTATTCCCTCTATACTTCCTGCCTGGCTACTGGCCAATCAGCATTTTATTTATCAACCAGTTAGAGCAACACATTCACAGCATACAGAACATCCCACAGCACCTCCCCCCTTCTATCTAATCAAAAAAGGAAGGTTTTAACTTTAACATAGTAAAATTACATACAACAAAACAGTAATCAAGCAAGAATTAACAGTTATAATATCTAGTTGCCAGCGATCCCCACAAGGAGCAACATGTAATGGGACTCAGGTAAAGCCATGGAACATGTGACAATACATAGATTAATAGTTATGGGATAATTTAAGATATAAGAGCTAGCTAGCAAAAAGCTTGAGCCATGCAGTTATAATTAATATAAGCCTCTGTGTGTTTACTTGGGGGATGCGAGTGGGAGAGATTTGACCCAACTGTCAGCAGGCCGGGACACAGGAAATCTTCCAGCTACATACCTGTACCACTATGCCTGGCTCTGATGCCCTCTTCTGTTTTTTTCAGGCACCAAGCACATACATGGTACACATACATACATACGGGCAAAATACAGGTATACAAAAAAATAAGCTTTAAAAAAAAAAGAATATCTTCATGTAGTGGCACAGATTTTTAATCCCAGTGGGATGAGGAGGGGGGCGGGGAAATGGAGACAGATCCCTATAGTTTACTAGTTGGCCATTCTAGTTGATAAATGCAAGCCCCAGGCACCAGTGAGAGGCCCTGTCTCAAAAAACAAGGGGGCCAGAGAGATAGCTCAGTGGTTAATAAGAGTGCTTGTTATGCAAACATGAAGAGTGTGTATTGGTGAAATTATTAAGGCCACTCCACGTATTTAAAAGGGAGGTGTATTTTGTGGGGTAACTCACAAGTGAAGAGATAGGTGGCAGGGTCTGGGAAAGACGCAGTGCAGTCTGGCGGTGTTCTCTGGAGAACTCTGGTCAGTCTACCTCCAGCGGTCCAGGGTCCAGGAACAAAGAGAGCTGGCGCACCCGGATCTCGTCATGGTCCTCTCTTGGCCCCGCCTTGTAGGCGTGACAGTTAATGAAGCCTCAATGGGTGTTGGAACTTCCAGATCAAAGCTGGAATGGCTACCCACTACAAGTATGAGTTTGTATCCATAGGATCACTGGGGCTTGCTTACTGCCTATCTGAAAACCATTAGCTGTAGGTTTATTGAGAGACCCTAACTCAAAGGAAGAAGACAGAGTGATAGAGTAAGATACAGATGCCCTTCGTTGGACCCCGGATACAGTGTGTACATGGCAGACAAAGGCACAACATACACAGCATCAGAAGAAGGTGGAAGACTTGTAGGGAATGACTACTGCATATGGTACAAGCCCCCCATACCCACCCAAAAAATGTTC